AAATTGTAAATATTTAGGTCTCACATAATTTATGTTTCTTTTATCGGATTATTATTGTGAAATAAAGATCTTGTTTCACTAATAATTGGATTTACAATAAATAGAACGTTTATTTAACTTCTGCAAATTGTCGTGGAACTCGGCCTTTAGGCGACGGTGGCTGACGGTGGATAATGATTGATGACGGTTCGTGATTGTGGATGACGGTGGATGGGGTGAATGATATGTGGATGAAGGTGGATGACTTTGGATGATGGTGGATGATAGACGGATGATGGTGGATGATAGATGGATGATTGTGGATGATGGTGGATAACGGATGATGATGGTGGATGACGCTTGATGTTGGTGGATGATAGATGGATGATTGTGGATGACGATGGATGATGGTAGATGATGGTAGATGACGGTGGATGACGTTTGATGTTGGTGGATGATAGATGGATGATTGTGGATGACGATGGATGATGGTAGATGATGGTAGATGACGGTGGATGATGGTGGAAGATGGTGGAAGATGGTGGATTACAGTGGATGATGGTGGATGATAGATAGATGATTGTGGATGATGGTGGATGATTGTAGATGACGGTGGATGATGGTGGATGACAGTGGATGATGGTTGATGTTGGTGGATGATATATGGATGATTGTGGATGATGGTAGATGACGGTGGATGATGGTGGAAGATGGTGTATGACGGTGGATGACAGTGGATGATGGTTGATGTTGGTGGATGATAGATGGATGATTGTGGAAGATGGTGGAAGATGGTGGATGACAGTGGATGATGGTTCATGTTGGTGGATGATTGTGGATGATGGTAGATGACGGTGGATGATGGTGGAAGATGGTGGATGACGGTAGATGACGGTGGATGATGGTGGAAGATGGTGGATGACGGTGGATGACAGTGGATGATAGTGGATGATAGATGGATGATTGTGGATAACGGTGGATGATGGTGGAAGATGGTGGATGACAGTGGATGATGGTTGATGTTGGTGGATGATATATGGATGATTGTGGATGATGGTAGATGACGGTAGAAGATGGTGGAAGATGGTGGATGACGGTGGATGACAGTGGATGATGGTTGATGTTGATGGATGATATATGGATGATTGTGGATGATGGTAGATGACGGTGTATGATGGTGGAAGATGGTGGATGACGGTGGATGATGGTTGATGTTGGTGGATGATAGATGGATGATTGTGGATGATGGTGGATAACGGATGATGATGGTGGAGGATGGCGGATGACAGTGGATGACAGGGGATGTTGTTTGATGTTGGTGGATGATAGATGGATGATTGTGGATGACGGTGGATGATGGTAGATGACGGTGGAAGATGGTGGAAGATGGTGGATGACGGTGGATGACAGTGGATGATGGTTGATGTTGGTGGATGATATATGGATGATTGTGGATGATGGTAGATGACGGTGGAAGATGGTGGATGACGGTGGATGATGGTTGATGTTGGTGGATGATAGATGGATGATTGTGGATGATGGTGGATAACGGATGATGATGGTGGAGGATGGTGGATGACAGGGGATGACAGGGGATGATGTTTGATGTTGGTGGATGATAGATGGATGATTGTGGATGACGGTAAATGATGGTTGATGTTGGTGGATGATAGATGGATGATAGATGGATGATTGTGGATGATGGTGGAAGATGGTGGATGACGGTGGATGACAGTGGATGATGGTTGATGTTGGTGGATGATAGATGGATGATTGTGGATGATGATGAATGACGGTGGATGGCTGTGGATGATAGATGACGGCGGATTACTTTGGGTGCCTGTGGATGATGGTGGATTATGTTGGATTACTGTGGGTGACGAAGGGTGACATTAGATAACGGTAGATGACACATCCATCTATCATCCACCGCCATACATCCAACGTCATCCACCGTCAGTATATACAGTATACAACAACGATGTCGGCACACAAAGGACTAAATGGTACAAAACAAATAATTGTAAAAACTGACCTTTTATGCTCTGGGAAGTCCAAGGAAAAAAAATGGAACTGTTTTAAATGTTTTATTAAACAGGATATCGTCCTTTTAAGACAATCAAAAGTTCGTTGAAGACTTTAAACTTTGTGAAGTTGCAACGGAACTGAAACTCCTTTAAATATGATGGAAACAATGTGTCACTTGTTCCGTACTGTCTTTTCAGTTTACGTTTGGCGCGCATCCATAGATTTTCTATATTTTGTGTGTGCACATCTGGGTCGTTGGGATCAACAAAATTTCTTTCGTGCACTACAACTGAATGTATGAATATCCCATTGGACAATTGCTCTATGTTCCTATAGCCTGCCCAGCCATCTGTTATTATGTGTGTCCCTGGCAAAACCTGTTGGACGATAATGTTTTCCAGGGTTCCAGCTGTTCTGTCTGGAACTTCCACTAGGAAGCATTTTCCAGTGGACCTTTCTATGCCACCAAA